TTGTTACCCACGTTCTAGAAAAATTGCAGTGACTTTTTCAGTTTCTTCAGCCCTTTGGTGAGTGGCAGTTCTTTTGAAGGCAACCATGGTGGTGGGGGAGGGTTGGCAGGCCATCTGTCACATGGATGGCCAGGGTGCTTGGCCACTGGACAAGAATGCGGTAGAGCTGTACTTAAGCTCCTCTCTCCCCTTGCCCCACTGGAGAATCAAGCCCTCTGGTCAGTACTGTCTCCCCCATACCCCCAGCCTTGTCTACATTTTCCTTTATTTGCGCAAATTAAACCTTGTTTTCCTGTGTTCAGTCCTGCTTCATAAAGATTTTCTGGAGGAGGTCATTTTATTGTCTTTAGTGAAAAAAGAACAGAATGTGGGCAGAATTTGTTGGGAAGATGGGGTGAGAATTTCACATAAGTTTTCACTTGAAATATTAAGGGAATTCTCTGGCAGTCCAGTGGTTAGGATTCCACGCTTTCACCGCCGAGGGCGTGGGTTCAATCCCTGGTCGGGGAACTAAGATCCCTCAAGCCTCGTGGTGTGGCCAAATTTAAAAAAAAAGAAGAAATATTGATTGAGTTCCTTATTTTCCTCCCTTCCCAAAGGCAGAAAGATCTCATCTGTAATGTCTTGGGAATAGAGGAGGCATGGGTTGTGCCCTACTGGTCTTTGTAAGCCAATCGTAACCCAATTGACAATGCTGCTCCCGTGGCCTCCTCCCCACCAGTGCTGGTGAGCCCTTGACCCTGGGTTTCGAGCCAGTGGCCTCAGGCCACAAATTACTCTCCAAGTACCTGATAAGCTGTGCATAAGGTGAGGAAGTACTTGGGTACAGAAATGGCTTTTAGAGGCAACTTTAATTTATTAAATTTCTAACAGGCTCTGGAGAAGTGTTATAACCATTCTAGCATTACAAAAATAAACAGAAGCCGTCCATGCCCCTACCTTAAATTTTGAGGTAAAATGAGAAAGCACACCAAGAAAAGTACACATTTGAACATTTAAATGATATGTTCAAAGACGACACCTCTAAGCTGATGACACCTCTAAGCTGATATGTTCAAAGATGACACCTCTAAGCTGATGGGGGAAAGTAGTTTAGGGTATGTGTGTAGGAGAAAGTGATGAGGGTGAAAAACCTGAGCCTTGGCCAAATCATGAATGGAATTTAAGCTGAGAGTGAATGATAGGTAAGGAAGATCCTGAGAGTTTTGAAGATGAATTAGTCCTTCATTTTAGGAAGGTCAGGGTGAAGATGTGAGGTGAGTGTGGGGAGAGAGATTCTGGTTATTAAACTTTCCCATCACTTTGCAGATGTGATGAGGCTCTGAAGTTGAAAGATCTTTCTCTGCTTACCATGCTGTGAGGCTGTCTATACATTGGGAGAATAGAATGTTCTTCACCTGCTATTCTTATATCAAACTGTTTATATTTGACTCTGAAAATATTCTATACAACAGACTGAATCCAGACTGTATTCCCTCCAAAAAAAGCTATTAGACCAGAAGAGGCCCTCAGGTTCACTCAGTTGTACCCCCAGCTTCTTCCTGTCCTTACCATCCCTGTCTAGAGTGAAGGAGAAGCAAAGCAAGCCAGTACCAAGACCACTATGGAAACCTGTTTTCACTAATATTTCTTTACTGGGAAATTGAAGTTTGCTGTTCTCTCTGATGTCCAATCTCTTCTTTCAGTTCTCTGCACAAGCCCCCTCTCCTTCCCGACCACCTTTCTTAAAATACTGCCTTTTTTCTCCAGTCCTTGACCCTGGTTTATTATTATTCATTTTCCTCGTACATCTTTCTCACTCTAGGGTATGCAAGTTCTACAAACTTGGGCCTGGAATAAATCTGCTTTCCAAGGCATCCAAAGATGTCCTGACAGGATGACAGGTGCCCCCAAACTTACAAATGATCTAGGCCATGAAGAGGAGGGTGCCTGCTGAAGCATCTTTGACAGCACCTCCACAAGGGATCAACAGCCTGTGTGCCAAAAACCTTACTTCTCCTTAGTGAGGGTGGGCGTCTAGATCAGAGCCCGATTGGCAGATGGGCAGAGCAGAAGCTGTGTTAATGCAGGGTCTGCTCTACTTTCACAGATTCCTCACTCCTCCAGGCAGAGCTTGAGTAATCTTGAAAAGACTTCACCTATTAATGGGGACACATACTCTGTATGTCAGTAGGATTACTGAGTAAGTCCTCACAACACTGTAAATCAACTACACTTCAATTAAAAAAAGAGTCTAATAAGAAAAAAAGTGAGTCGTGATGCGCGTCGGAGGTGTGAAGGGCTTGAGGCCAGGAGGCAGTACTATTTCATGTTAGAGTCTCACTGGGGTGTAGCTGCTTGGCTAGTTGGGTATTAGATTTAGGATAAGTGCTCACCAACGACAGCAACTCCTGAGGCTCCAGCCTCCTCCAGCATCTTGAATCTCAAGCCCATTGTCATTTGTTTCTGCTGTAGCACAGAACGACTCTCAGGTCAAACCCAGATCCTGCCTGATGCAGGAGTCTCATGCCATCTTGAATATTTTTATAGCAAAAAGAAGTTAAGTTTTCTTAAAGGGATTTTTGGTTTTATTTCTGTGGATGAGGCAAAAATGCAGTTCTAACTCAGAGCAAATCTTAATCACCAAAGAGGAAGTGTTTTGGATATAAGCCAGTGGACAGTAACTGGGCAGGGAGAAGTAAAAACATACAGAGCACCAGTATTGATTGTTTTTACCACAGATTCCCTAGAAACGATGGAATTATGATGCAGGCAAGATTCAGTAGATTCAGTACTTGCCAGAAACCCAAAATCTTTATGATGTCTGCCAGGTCCTGACTTCTCAGGTGCCCAATTCCTGCCTTTTGAGGTGTCAGCTGAAAAAAGCAGGGTTGCCTTTTCTCCATTCTGGCTCTGTTCCCTAAATCAAGTCCCCTAACTCATCTAGGCAATAGCTCTCAAAGGTCTGATTACGTGCTGCCAGTTGGGATTGAAATTTGAGTGAGGCACAGTCACAGTGAAAGCCATGCAGCCCCAGCAGATGTCTGTGAAGCGGCAGCATTGGCATCTCCTGGGAGCTAGTTAGGAAATCAGTTTCAGGTCTCACTCCAGACCTACTGAATCATAATTTGCATTTGAAAAAGATTCCTGAGTGATATGCCAGCACACTCAAGTTTGGATGCAAAAAGAAATAGGTGATTCCAGTACAAAATGGCAAGGGAAGTGAATCTATAATATCCCTTCCACGGCTAACAAGCAGTGTGTGCTGTTTAGTTAGTTCTACTATAGCTGTGTTGTCAGTAATTACTGCACTGAATGTTCCTACCTCTGAATTGGCTACCCACAGCAGGTGTGGGGTTTTTTTGTTTTTTAATTATTTTATTTTATTTTATTTATTTTTTGGCTGCATTGGGTCTTCATTGCTGTCCGTGGGCTTTCTCTAGTTGCCACGAGCAGGGGCTACTCTTCGTTGTGGTGCACGGGCTTCTCATTGCTGTGGCTTCTCTTGTTGCGGAGCACGGGCTCTAGGCACACGGGCTTCAGTAGTTGTCGCTCGCGGGCTTAGTAGTTGTCACTCGCGGGCTCTAGAGAGCAGAGTCAGTAGTTGTAGCTCATGGGTTTAGTTGCTCCGCAGCATGTGGGATCTTCCTGGACCAGGGCTTGAACCCATGTGCTCTGCATTGGCAGGCAGATTCTTAACCACTGCGCCACCAGGGAAGTCCCTGGACAGCAGGTTTTAAAGATGAGATTCAGTTCAGTTCAAGACGCCCTTAAAACCAACTAATTGGAATTGGAGCCGGTCCTGCTAGAGATTTAGTCCCGAGCATGGAACACACAGCTGCCTACCTGTGATTTTAGGCAGCACTGTTACAAGAGGAAAAGATTTCTAGTCTCACCTCATGTGGAAACTGGTGCTTCTAGTTTTTTCAACAATAGACTTGGCTTTGCACAGAAAACAGTATGAACCTGAAAATAAAACAATCAGGGATTGAAGTGGGGCCCATTGGCTACTTTTAGTAATCTTATGCTATGAGGTGCAAAGATCTGAGTGCTAGATTTCAGAAACAGTGCATAGGCAGCCAGAAAATTGTTAGTAATGAATGCTTAAACTCCTAAAGATTACACTGGAGACAAAAAAAAACTTTTGTGAGTTGAGTAAAACTCTTGCTTTCAAATTTTATTTATAAATAAGAGATATATATACATGTACGGTAGCCTAATGTGATTAACAGGTTCCATTTTGTTCTAAATATTTAATATATAGTCTTTTATGTCCAGGGTGAGGTAGCCAAGAAATAGAACAATACAGCATCCGTCCCTTCATTCTCCTTCTGGCTTCTAGAAGAGAAACTCTGGAGTGACCTCAACTTTCACACCAAAAATAAGTGATAAAAATGACAGATCCTATTTATACATGAAGAAATGTAAATATGAGTTAATCAGATTATTTCATTCCATAAAAGCCACTAAAGCTGCTGGTATTTGCATGGCTCTATGTTTATTTTAAGAGCCCCATTCAAATATAACCAGAAAGGTACCGGTCTCTTGAAAGTTTGTGTGAAAGTGAATTATGCAGCAGAAAATAAATTAATAATAATTATACTGATGCAAGGTTCATCAGCATTTCAGAATGTTGTTTGGAGATGTTAAATCGGTTTTGAGCCTCCATTTGCTGATTCTGACATTGTTATTATCAGCAGGATGCAAAGTCACCCTTCCTATGTCTCCAACTAAAAGTATGAAAAGGCTGTCGTCCAGAAGAGGGCCCTGATCCCTCGGGGGAGAAACACTAAACTCTATAAAAAGAAAACCAAACCCAACCTGAACTAATCGTCCAAGGAGTCGAGTTTGGCCAGGAAAGGAAGATCGCCCTCCAAACCAGTTACAGGAATGTGTCCGGGGGTCCGACTCCGAGCCAGGTGTTCCCAGCTGAAAGGTAACAGCCAAGTTCAAGGTTGGACCGTGGTGGGGCGAGTCCTTCATCCAGACAGCGCCCGGCCAGAACAGGCTGGGGGCGCCGTCTACAGGTCGGAGTCGCAGGGCAGCGCGCTGCCGCATGACCGGGTGCTGCGGGAGGACCCGCCGTGGTGGGAGTCGGGAGCCTTCTCCCCATCGAGCACTTCCACCGGGTTGCTGTAGGCCTTGGGCGGCGGCCGGGGCATCGGGAAGCCGGCCTTGCGCTGGCTGGCGGCGCCGAGCTGGACGGGCCGCGGCCGGTGCTGGCCGTCGCTGTAGTACTTGATGGCCGGCGTGAGCGCGGGCTCCGGCCAGTCGACGTACACGGTGCTGATGCTGCTGCGGCGCGCCCTGCCTGGGGGCGCCTTGCGGCAGCTGCGACAACGCTCGGCGCACCAAGGCGCGAAGCTGAGCGCCAGCGAGAAGCCGCCCAGCAGCAACAGGCAGCTGCCCAGGTAGCCCAGCACCAGGCTGTAGCCGACCTGCACGGTGACCGGGCTGGACTGGGCGGGCAGGACGGCGCGATCCGCCAAGAAGTGGTTATACCAGGAGACTGGGATGAGGCTCAAGAGGCCCGCGGCGAAGAGCACGACGCCGGAGAGGCCGGCCAGCGCGAAGTGGGGCTCGTCCTGCCAGCAGCGCACGCCGAGCGTCGCCAGCAGTAGCCCCAGGGCCGTGGCGGCCAGCGACGTGATCATGAGTCCCCGTGCCACCCGCACGGGATCGGCGGCAAAGTAGCCCAAGTCGTCTGGCTGACCGCACTGGCGCTCGCTGCTGCTCTGCTCGCGGCACATGTCCCACAGGCCCTGGTACAGCACCACGTCCACCGGCTGGTCGAGGAAGCCCTTCACCAGTCTCCAGCCGGGCGTCAGCGTGCCAGTCAAGGTGAGTAGCAGCCCGCAGGGTGCGAGCACCATGCCCAGAATCATCACCACCGGCGTCCTCATCCTGGACGGCGCACCTGCCCACTCCTCCGCCTCCGCCGCCGGCTTGCTATCTCGAGCCCTTGCGCCCCCGGAGAGCGCTCCAGGTTCCGGCTCCCTGAAGTCCGCACGCCTGTCGCCGCCACGCCCGGAGTCCTGCGCCCGGCTCTCCTCCGGCCGCTCTTTGTCTCCGGCGCGGGGCCGTCTGCGCTCCGCTGCCCGTCCCTAGTTCGCTCCCCGCGTCCCGGCCGCTCCGCCCTACCTCCCGCCCAGCCGCCTAATCGAAACCAGCTCGCGGGCAAGTCTGATCGAAACCTGGGCCCGAGATGCCGCGCGCAGAGGTGGCGGCAGCCGCAGCCAAACCCGTCCGGGTGGGAGGGGCTGGAGTGGCGAGCAGGAAGCTGCGCGGCCCTGTGGGACTCGGACCGAGCAAAGGTCGCCCCGCCCCTGCACCTCTGCGCGGCTCGGAGGGGCCGGGTCGGCCTGGGGCGGGGAAGAAAAGAGGAGGCGCCGCCCGAACGGCCGCACCTGGCCCGGGCACTGCGCAGGTCCCTGCTTCTCAGCAGATCTCGGTAACTAAAGTTTTTCTCCGGTCCCTGCCCGTCGACCCTGCACCTGTAGCCTGTCCTCCCTCCACCCCCAGCGGGGATCCGATGGCCCCTCGAAATTTTGCGCTGTTAGCTTGCAGACACCCACGGCTGAGTGAGCGGAACCGCCCGAAGTGCGCTGGGCAGGTGTGCACCGAGGGTCCTCCCGGTCGAGAGGCGTGTCCCAGAGTGGTGCACTTGTGTATTTTGTTTAATTTGCTTATTAAAGACTCCATACTCCGGATTAACCTTGGTGGAAAAGAATCAAAGCGACTGTGTTTCTGTGATGAGGAATTACCGAGGATTTTATTTTCTTTGGCCTCTTAAAAGATTTTGAAACTGACGAAAAAATAAAGGGGTGGGGGTGTGCCCTGTCTAGCACACTTTTCAGGTTTGTCCACCTCTAGGGTCCTGAGACTTTCATTGTCTTTGAGCTGTTTACAACTCTGTAAATTACAGAAAACCTGTAGTGTCACAAGTGATTTTTGTCCATAGGAATGCAAATGAGTTTGTCAGTAGAATGTTAATGACTATTGCCCGATGGATGACTGCTTTGGCATTGATTTGTAAATTCACTTTAGCAGGCCTGTTTGCCTATATATGTGTGTCCTTTGCATTGTTCTTTAAATCGGTTGTAACATACTGGTTCCCTTAATAAATTAAATAAAATCTTTGACACGCGTTCATTTTACATTTGTGTGAGAATCGTGATTTTACAGTTTCCTAAAAATTATTATTTCTAAAAATCAAAGTTAATTAAGCATTGGTTTGAAGTAATTTTAAACATTCTAGAGTAGACAATGGGTCTACTCTACCCATAGGATGGGTCTTTTGTTTTTTGAAGATTTTTAAATTAAAAAAATGGTGGTAAAATATACATAAACATAGAATTTACCATCTTAACCATCAAGTGTACTGTTCATTGAAATTAAGTATATTCACAGTGTTGTGCTACCATCACCATCATCCATCTCCAGAATTTTTCATTTTCCCAAACTGAAACTCTACTCATTTATCAATAACTCCCCATTCCACCAACACCCATCCTACCTGCCAGCCCCTGGCAACCACCATTTTACTTTCTGTCTTTATGAATTTGAGGCCTCTAGATGTTTCATTCAAGTGGAATCATGCAGTATTTATGACTGGCTTATTTCACTTAGCATAATGTCTTTAAGGTTCATCCATGTTCATAGTGTGTCAGAATTTCCTTCCTTTTTAAGGATGAATAATATTCCGTCACATGTATATACCACATTTTATTTATCCATTCATCCTTTGATGCACACTTTGGTTGCTTCCACCATTTGGCTCCTGCAAATAATCCTGCTAAGAACAAGGGTATAGTACTATCTCTTGGAGTCCCTGCTTTCAGTTCTCCAGAAGTGGAACTTCTGGATCATATGGTAACTCTGTTTTCAATATTTTCAATAAATGCGCTACCATTCTCCATAGCAGCTGCATCATTTTCCATTCCCACCAACAGTACACGAGGGTTACAATTTCTCCAATTACCCCACCACCTCCTCACCCCACAACTCAGGAAAACTGGATTTTTTCCTCATTGTTTCCGAAGTGTTGTGCTCCCTTTTGCCTCTAGACCTTGGCATATGCTCTTTTCTTTCCCTAGAGTCCTGCCTGCCACTTCCCAAACCCAGTGCATCCTTCAGATCTTCACTTAAATACCATTTTCTCTGGGAGGTTTCTCAATAGATTAGCTTTTCCTATTGGACTTCTATACACACCCTCTTCTGTTGTAACACTTGCCACAATTCCTTATTACTTGAATCATTTAGTTGTCTAGGGCAAGGATAAATTCTTTGAGGGTAGGGATAGTGTTGTTTGGTTCCGCCCTAAAATCCATCTTGATGGCCTGGCCCATAGTAGCCACTCAACAAATCCATTTTATCTTTTTCCGCCATGTCTCCTTTCACATAGTATCCACGGAATTCTCTTACAGATGACTGTCTGGTCAAAATATATTGTTAATGCATTTTAGTAAAGTTGTTGGTTGTTTGAATTTTTTTTTTTTCCAGCATAGAAAACAATGAGATATAGGGTAGCTCCAATATTTATGACAAAAAAGTGTAGCCCTGTGGGGGTAATTTTCTACGGTAATAAAAGATGATTGCACTAAGTGTGGCATCTGATTCTAGATCTGGGCTCTTTGTTCCATTGGGCCTCTGAGTTTATCACAAGGCTGAGTGAGAAACAAAGCATGAATCACAATGTGGCAGGAATGAATTATTGCTGAGATTAGTACCCATCTGTGTAAACTGATCCTCAGGCCCTAGAATAGCTTTCTTTTCTGCAGAGAGGCCCTATGGTAAGGCAGGAATCTATTTACAGTGCCCTACGTTTCCAGATAATAGGGGGCTCCCAGCGACTAATTCTAAACAGACTAATGCTGGGGCCCCTGTTAGCCTACATACCATCACGTTGCAAACTCTGGGGAGCAAAGATCAGTGTGCTGTTATGGGGTGTCCTCAGAGTCCCTATATCAGGTCTTTATATTTTACTCTCTCCACATAATAAGGCCCTAAACACTGTTGTTAGTCTTCCGGTGGCAAATCCAGTTCAGTAGGTTATAGAATAAAAATTAAACCATATGGGGCTTCCCTGGTGGTGCAGTGGTTGAGAATCTGCCTGCCAATGCAGGGGACACAGGTTCGAGCCCTGGTCTGGGAAGATCCCACATGCCGCGGAGCAACTAGGCCCATGAGCCACAACTACTGAGCCTGCACGTCTGGAGCCTGTGCTCCACAACAAGAAAGCCTGCAACAGTTAGAGGCCCGCGCACCACGATGAAGAGCGGCCCCCACTCGCCGCAACTAGAGAAAGCCCTCGCACAGAAACGAAGACCCAACACGGCCAATAATAAATAAATTAAAACAAAAAAACTAAATGTGTGACTCTGTTCTGTTTAAAAAAAATTAAACTATGATCATTCTCTTTTTAAATAGCATTAAAACAGCCTGAAGTGAAGGAAGACCGTCCACATGTCGTTAGCTTTCCTTGTTGACCTATAGCCTAACAACTGGTTTCAAGTTTTGTGTGCCCAATATTGCAGAGAATAAACAGATAACCTTTGACATCCAATTTAAAGTAGCCCCCAATTAGCTCAGTATCACATCACCCTAATTTATTTTCTATATAGAACTTTTCACTACCAAATGTTTTCTTATTGTGTATTGACCTATTTATATTCTGTATCTCCCACTGCATTGTTAAGTTCCAAACCCTAGGGACCTTGCTGGTCTTGTTTGTGGCTATATCTCAGCACCTGGAATAGTGCCTAGCTCGTAGGAGGTACTCAATAAATAGTCTTAGTTTGTTAAGTAAGTGAAAGAAATTTTGTAAAATTCCTGCACAGTAAAAGGAAGATACAGCATACATCATTTAAAAAAATCATAGTAAAATACACAGAACATGAAATGTATCATCCTAACCATTTAAGTGTACAGTTTAGTAGTGTTAAGGGCATTCACATTGTTGACTCTACATAAATGTTTTCATCTTGCAATACTGAAATTCTTTACCCATTTAACAACTCTCCATTCTCTCATCCTCCCAGGCCCTGGCAGCTACTGTTCTACTTTCTGTCTCTGTGACTTTGACTACTGTATGCAAGTTATGTAAGTGGAATTACACAATATTTATCCTTAGACTTATTTCTTTTAGCACAATGTTCTTAAGGTTCATCCATGCTGTAGCATGTGTCTTAATTTTCTTCCTTTTTAAAGATGAATAATATTCCATTGTATGTATAGACCACATTCATTCATTCATCGATGGACATGGGTTGTTTCCACCTTTTGTCTATTGTGAATAATGTGCCATATTAGTAAATCTATTAATTTTTTTATTTGGCCTTGCGGCATGTGGGATCTTAGTTACCTGACCAGGGATCAAACCCGTGCCCCCTGCAGTGGAAGCGCAGAGTCTTAACCACTGGACCATCAGGGAAGTCCCCAGTAAATCAATTTAAATTTATTCTATATCATTCCTGTGTGGTGATTGACTATCTAAAGCAAAAATCTACTTGCCATCCCTCTTGTACATATCAGAAGGTACCACAAGATATCATGCCACTTAAAAAGAAAAAAAAATTGCTTAAGTTTTATCTTCTAGAGGCTTCTAACCCTTCTTGGCCTAGCATCAAGGCTGCCTCCTTTACAAAGGTGGGGATGCATGGTGGGGGTAGGGCTGGTCCCAGCAATCAGTAGCTGTGCTTACATAGCCTGCTTCTCCTCAACCCTGTCCATTTCCATCTACTGCAGGGGAAGAAGACTTACCAGGCCACAGACTAGGTTCATTCAGATCATTATTTTATATTATGAAAACATTACATCTCTCTTTGATTACTTTGTCGTAGTACCTGGACAGTTGAAAATTAGTAGGCATATTACAATGAGGATAATAATCAAAATGCATCTT